ATGGAAAAGAAAAGAGCATAAAAACTGTGTAACTATAAACTATGAGTCTCTGTGACCTGTCCTTTGTAATATAAAGATATAATAACATTACATAAAATTACACGAATAAATTATTCACGTTATTGAATCCCTTCGAAATCTACATCCTATTTTAATGGATGGCATGTTTATCAGCATTGAAAAATTTGTTCAACTAAATTTCAAAACAAATATTATATACAGGGTGTAGTGGGCCAATAGTCAGTGTGCAAACGTCGGGTCTTATTATAGTTATATACCTCCGCCGCGTTTTATATTTGAGAGTTTTTGCTTTGCAGTTGGCATACTGTACTTACTTGTTCGAGAAATGACGAAGTTATCAAGCATTTTGACTCAGACTTGCAGGTCATGCTCATTGACATCCGGATCTGACACTGGACAAACTGATCGTCTAGAAGCCGAATCATGGGCATACTAACAGTAACAGGGGGCGACCTTACTTAGCATTACTAGATAACCTAAAAGCAGATACTGGGCTGAAGTCAGTATATGAGATAGCTAGACTGATGGACAGAAAACTGTGGAGAACGGCTGTAGGACTGTAGAGCGGGGGACTGTAGAGCGGGGGACTCCGGACTCTAGAGCGGACTTGGTCAAAAGTAGGACCCTAGAGCGGAGTCAAATCGCCAGGGTAGGACTCTAGAGCGGAAATCCCTAACAGGACCCATACTATGAGGACTCTAGAGTGGTACCCACCAGGGGTGTGCGCCGCCGCCGAGTTTTTAGCCCACGCCGCTCACCGCTGCGCCGAACAATTTATCGGCGGCGCAAACGGCGTGAACGTGGTATTTTTAAAATTTGAATTTTTAAAAAATTACTCAAAAAAATTTAATGAAAAAATTTGAAAATTATATCGAACGCGTATTACCGAGGCATAATTCGAGGCATAATTGCTGAATATAATTATAAAATCCCTATAGCATGTCTGACGTCAAGTAGTTTGATGTAGCATATGCAATGTTTCATGAAATTGTGAATTCCTGTCATACGATCAACGATGAATTGAACTTGAGGTGAAATTTGCAACTGTCTAAACCTTATTAATACTAAGTCAATCCTTTACCTAAGCAATGAATTTCCATTTTGTCGAGTCACAACTGAAACTGCCAATTGTCCACAGGCCACGCCGCCGAACGCCGCCGCCGCCGCTAATTTTGGCCACGCCGCCGCCGATTTTGGTAGAACACGGCGGCGCACACGGTGTGGCACACCACTGGTCATACCAGAAAGAATTATTTCGATTGGGCACTCAGTGACTGAGCCATTAAGGCCAACGTTTGCACACTGACTTTTGGCCCACCCTGTTTTATTATGCAATAATTAATGACTTTGTAGCGTGACTCGGACTCGATTTTTTTTCCACTTCCTCCAGAGACCATACGTTACCTGGCACGCTAATCCCTGTAAAATAGACTAGCAAGCTAGGTAATCGGAATCCAGACACAGAAATAGAGCCGAAAGAAACATGTTAATTCATTAAGTACAATTTTAGTTGTGTCATTAAATTTATAACTTATGTTTAAAAGTTCACGTTGATGTTATTGTGAAGGTTAAATTGGATAGTGCGTAGTGTGTAGGTACTCAGTCAACACATCAAAAATGGGAATATGGGTGGTAATTGCGATGTACCTACAAGAATATATGCTGCACTTTCTATAAGACGGTGGTATTACTACCAAGTTACTAGTAAACGTATTCGTACGAATAAAAATCAATCTACAAAATATGCTCTATACATTCATAATACAACTGCAAGCAAGTGTTGTATGTGTATATTGGCATGCTTGTATCGATATCATTCTTAAAATTGAAATGCTTGATGTCAGCCTGCGAGCACAATTAGAGCGACTCAAGAATTTTACTTGACATCAAGGGCTCATTATCTTTCTGCAATAGAGCACCGTTATCATCTACTTCACCTGGACTAGCTGGACAAGCAAGAAATAAGCGAACAAACTCGATCTTACGTTCATTAAATTTCACATCAAGATCCCACTCTTCAACACTTCAGTGCAAATAGGCAACAAATTTCTTAATCTGTCTTCATCATCATCATCCACAAAATCAGCATAATCTGCATATTCCCACACTTATTGATACTGGTATGACAAGGCGTTCTTTTAACTTGCTGATGATAATATCTAGACATGATATCGATCCAACATTCAGAGCTGACGGTATATGAGCGTTTTCGCGATTTTTATATTTAACGCAAACACTTTCTCTATTTCACATGTGCACACCCTGTACACTTTCCACCTGATGTTACAACATACCATGTCATCTGCATTGCACGAGGTACACACAATACCCCGCCAGCTGAAAGCAATGTTAGCCAGATCTCTCATTGTACGCAGTATCACGTGACCATGGGTACTCTCTTTAGATTAATTGTTAGACTGTATGCCTTTTGTCAGACTCCTCCGCCTCCACACTTGGCCTACTTTGCTTGGTGTGTGTGTGTGTGTGTGTGTGTGTGTGTGTGTGTGTGTGTGTGTGTGTGTGTGTGTGTGTGTGTGTGTGTGTGTGTGTGTGTGTGTGTGTGTGTGTGTGTGTGTGTGTGTGTGTGTGTGTGTGTGTGTGTGTGTGTGTGTGTGTGTGTGTGTGTGTGTGTGTGTGTGTGTGTGTGTGTGTGTGTGTGTGTGTGTGTGTGTGTGTGTGTGTGTGTGTGTGTGTGTGTGTGTGTGTGTGTGTGTGTGTGTGTGTGTGTGTGTGTGTGTGTGTGTGTGTGTGTGTGTGTGTGTGTGTGTGTGTGTGTGTGTGTGTGTGTGTGTGTGTGGGGTCTCAGAACGCAGATTTAAACGTTAATTTCCACCTGGGGTCTCGACTGTCAATTCGTTTAAAGCTGCCTTTATTTGGTATTATCTTGTGGGATAATTTAATCAAATTCAAGCTATTCACGCGTATATACTCGCATATATTAGTAATGGTATATTTGCATATTGACACATTTGGCAGGTTTGTCTAGCAAATTAATGCCAACTCTGGTTCTATTGACGTCACGATAATTTCAAATCGGTTCAGGTTTAAAAATGACATCAGAGAAAGTTTGGTCAGCAGCTGTGGTCTCCTCACTCTGCCTCATCTCCTCCTTCATCATAGTCGCCTCTACTCAATCCCAGAATGACAATGAGGATGAAGTTGAAGTGGTTCCAGATAAAGTATTCAACTCACACCCGGGTCTAACAGACGAGGAAGCTACACAGGAGGATATAAAGTTGTTTCTCCGGCAACCTGCTTATATTGCTCTTATTGTAATCTTCATGCTTATATTCGTGGCTATGTGGTTTGTACCTGATCTACCGCCTCATGGTTCAAAGAAGACCAAGAAGTGAGGGAAATGGCGGAGGACTACAACTGAAAAATGTTTTGATAGACTGAAGGTTTGAGCGCGGCAATCTGATGAAGTACTGTGGAAGCTGAACAACTTTTGTTCGGCAATGGAACTAAGGGAGAATTACCACAACTCCTCAATAAACCAGTTGTTTTCTTGGTTTCAGCTAGTGAGTAGTGAGATCTGTTTTAACACAGTGAACTCAGAGTGAAGTCACACATAAAGGTTCAGAGATGTAAAAATTATTGTACAATATTTGGGAACAGACAAAACTATAATTATCAAGCTTTTAGGTCCGCTTTAAATTAATAAATTATGATAATTACATAAGCGAAGCAATTAGTGTTATTAGATAAATGGTGTATTTTAAATGATGTCAAGTCAAACTGGTAAATTTAAAGTTTTATCTCAGTAGCTCGGGTGGTCGAGTTTTTCAAACTTGTCTCGACACCGACGCTCAAATATCAAAGAGTGAAAAATGGATTGATGATTTTGATTTTGTGCATGACATTAAATAATGTGGTTCTTAGATTCGCCTGGAACAAATACAATTGACTTCTAATTCCAGACCTCCCTCAAGAATAATCTTTCTTACATTATAAGTTCTGGATAATCGTTGCATTAAATCCGCAGAAAATGGGAGGGTCGGTTTTATTGGAAGTGGTGAAATTATGTTTTTTTATCATGATTTTTTGGTCGGGTGATTGATCGTTTCCCTCAGCAGGCATCCGGGATGTCTCAGTCACGTGGTAGAGATTGTGATAGTTTCTGAGTTTCAGTTTTGGTCGAGAGAAGTGCTTATTGGAGATACTGTGCCAATTTAATATACGGCAGGTGGGTCACTCCAAGTGTTTCTGTGGTTATATGGTTCGAAGATTATTTTTTATAATGGAAGGGATCTTGATATTTCGCATTATCTACTCTATTTTTAGCACTGAAGCTCGATAGAGAATTGGTTTGCATATTCGTTAAACTCTCCTACAGAAACCACCCTAATCGTCGGTAGCAAAACCTATTATAACCAAACCATATATCTGCAGAGATGACATGCCAGTTGAAACAGTTAATACTATTACCAATCTAGGTGCGCCGGTTCAAAGTCACCAGAAAATCATTACGTCGCCACTGGTTTTAAAGTTTCCCCACTTCTTGTGTGGCCAGCACAACTTGATGGGTGTGACAGGACTACCTGGTGCAGTAGTCAATCATTCTCAAATGCGTGGGATAAGTTCCAAGTTTTATTAAATCATATGTAACCATAACTCTGGGTGCGAGATATTATGATCAACATTAAAGCAGGTAGAGAAACAGTTTGATAATTTGACAGCTCAGTGGCAGGTATTACGATACGTGAAGTGTCTACTGTTCATCAAGATTTGTGAGATTTGATTAAAGTTTATGACATGCTTTGCGAATATTCAATATATATATTATATATCTTTGATATGATCGCGTCTCGACTCCTCATTATCTCATGAACCAAAACAAATCATCCGAACTTGTGTGTCGCTGAGATATACCAATTTGATGAATCAAATATAGCTATTAGCTTGTGCTGATCGAATTTTTGAAGGGGTAATCTTATTTAGAAGTTCTTTCTTGAGAAAATAAAAACTGCATGTTCATTGCATAAAGAATGATTTGTACTACATCTAGGTATTGACTATAGAACATCAACCCTGGTTGGCACTATTCTGCATAGTTACATAGTTATTACTTAGTAACTATACTATTCTGTACAGCTATAAAACTGGAAACCTTTAAAAACATCCTTGTAAACTACTGTGTAATTCTGTAGTTTATACTACTACTACTACTACTACTACAACTACTACTCATTCATTCTGATCACATGCAAGGAAATGCTTTGCCGTCTATAACTCATATAAAATTGTTTTAATACTCATAAAACTGTAAATAGGATTAAAAATCCGGCAGTCATGATACAATTCTATCTTATTTTAGTCCGGGTATACAGGATTCATTAAATATTACATGCTAATCCCATGTCATGACTGACCATGTGAAACGTTAAGTTAAATAACTTTATAACCCCTAAAAACTAATTCAAATACCTAAAATTCAACCCTTGGTTATTCTCGTAACATTAGATGCAATCCTGCTCAAAGAAATCTGTTTGCCTGAACTTGGCACGGAAAGTTTATCATTGGTAAAAGTCTGTTTGGTGTTGGTGCGACTGTTGCTCATTTGTAAGGAGGGTTGTTTGTGTCCTGGTTTGGTTGGGGGTGTAATGGTGCAGGTGATGGCTGTCTCCTCGCTCCACTTGGGGCGTTCTCGCACACGGATACAGTTCCTTCGACCTGCAGATAGGTAAACGGTTATGATCTATGAAGCAATCAACAGCAGCAAAGGTTACGAAATAAAATCTGCGGGTGCATCGTATTAACATATTGTTAGGAAATACTGCCTATAAGTATAATGATTCGTGTCGGCGATGGTAATGAGCTTCGAATCAAAGGGGAAATTGAATGAGGACGGACCATTGCTATAGAAATGACCCTAATAAGGAACTATGAAATTGCTATCCAATCTTACCTAATTTTCTATTCTGGTTAATGACGTCATCATCGCTGTGGTACAGAGACTCGTCTGCTACGTTTGATCCCCATGTATGGTACCGGATTATCATCGACATCCATGATAGTGTCTTGTTCATCTGTGGGGAAATAAGAATGTCAAATCATGTAATTAAAATCTGTAATTAAAATCTGTATTTACACAATGTATTCATCACGTAGCAGCTGTCCCACTGAATTGAATAATTGAGTTCAATCAACTATAATTACTAACCACAAAACTCTTAAGACAATAAAACTTAAAAATCGACTCGAATTAATGATTACTTACAGCTAAAAGGTCTGCTTTCATCTCCTGAGAGTTGTTGGTGTCAAGGTCTGATTCCGCCAGAATGAGTTGTATTTTATATTGCTTTGCTCGTTCACACATCTTCTCCATGACACTCCGGTGTTCTTTGAGAGTTTTGCTGATGTTGCAGACCATAATGTCGTCTATTTCGCTCGAGGGGTTATATTCTTGGGTGTGCTGAACAAATCTCAACAACTTTGTGTTCTCTTCAACCAGGGTTTTTAACTGAAACAGAATAACTGGTTAACTAACTGCGAATTGAGAAAATAAATTGTTCGTTAAAAGCGAAAAGTCTGCTTCAAAACATCACAAAAAGTAAACCGTTCATAGTATAATCAGTCCCAAAGATATACCGCGAGAGCCTCACCTCTTTGATTTGAGTGAGAGCTGTGTCGATGGTGTGGTTTCTCTCCGCTTCCTCAACGTCCCGGGCACTCTTGGTAAGGAAGGTTAGAAACTCCTGGCTGTTGTGGTAAGAGTAAAGTTTACTGTCACTCAGAGAGGAGATACCAAGCGTCAGGGAGAGAGGTAGGGGCAGATTACAGATTGGATTGTCATCTGGTGGAGAGATTGAATTTAGTGGATGGAAAATTACAATTTTGAGTACCAAATTTGGTTAATTAACGCTGCGACATCTTCAAAATGATGAAAGTGAGACCATGTTTGATGTATCGAGTAAGTCACGTACATAAGATTTTAAAGATTTATTACCTTTTTGCTTGAAAGAAGATCTGTGTTTATCAAGTCGGTTGTTGGTTATCTGGTTTCGGGACAAGTTCTCGGTACTCCTACTCTTCAGTCCTTTCTTTAGCGGCATTGCTTCATCTATCAGGAAGGAAAACAACGTTAGCTTGGTTTTTACAAAATAACCACGTTTCACAGTAAAATAATGAAATAGAAATCACATAAAATGCTATTGAAGCGATACAACTAATGCATGACTTGGCAGTGGTGGTTAGAAAGCTCAAGGGACAGTTAAAATTCGCGGAACATTTGACCTTTTATGGCAAAATTGATTAAAACCTTAACCATTTAATTTTACGGATTTCGATTTTATAGCTATTTCATCAGAGAATTGTGACGTAAGGTGACTATCAAATCGATCATACAATTTAAATCAACTGTAAAGTTTCGCATTGGAGAACTTAAAACAGCTGAAGCTGAAGATGAACCGGAAACAAAATCTACTTACAATCACTCTTATGAGACCCGAACCATGAAAATCGACCCCACGACATGACAATTGACAAAGACACAAGATTTACGAGAAATATAGGCAATAAGAAAGAGGAGGCATATTGCCGTAATATCACGGTGTAATACTACCTCGGTTAATAGTCTACCACTGCTATCGATAACAGTAAATAGTATGCCTTACAGACATAGGATCACCTTTCAGAAAAATCAGCCGAAATCTAAATGGACAGCGGTGGAGGAGCTGATGGGAACGTTTGTGTGCCCTAACAATACAAGACTCGAGAGGGAATGAATGCCAACTCAACTTAACTTAAGTTTATAAAGATGTTGAGGCCCCAACTATCGTAGGTCATTATACCCTAATGAGAGATTTGCGTTGATAGTATCAAGTGTGCAGACAGTAGACTCCCAATCATAAAGGCATAAAATAATTTAATTCTTAGCAGAGGTAATCAGGGTAAGCCAGGGTAATACCAACCTGAACAGGTTCGTAATGATAATATTTATTTATAGAATTGAAAGGTGGCACAAAGTTTACAAAATCTACTCTGGTTAGATTCAACTGAGGGTCCGAACTTAAATGCTTCTCACGACATCCGGGGTTCTCTTTCTACCGTTTCCTGATACGAAGATAAGTCTTGGTTTGCGACTTGCATGTTTGCTCTTGCGATGCATATTTAATTATTGAGGTGGAGAATGGATCCTATATCCGGCTATCGTCATACCGCCATAACACTAGAGCTCTTTCTTGTATGCAAATATTCCGTATTTTGGCACTATAAATTTCAAAAGCCTTTCTAAGTAATGACCTCTGACAAAAGCCACTAGCAATGACCTCTAACAAAAACCTTTAGAATTAGAAAGCACCTGACCGTAGTAAGCAGCATGGTAAAGCTTGATAATATAAATGACTGCTTACATCAGAATTATATATCATGTGCATATTTCAGAAGAAATTGAAAGCTCGAGATTATTTGATCGCACCCAATACAGCAGCAAATTGAGTTCTTAATTTCTGGTGATCCAGATAAAAATGTACTGACAACTCTCTCAAAAATGCAATAACCGCCGACAAATTCGACATGAATCATAAAAGACGTGTGGACACAACATTAATAACTAAATTAAGACCAATAACCGCCAGCTGATCGTGACATAAACAATGCCAATAGTAACTAGCTCCACTACAATTGTAGCCTATACAATGTATGATCTACAATTTACACAGTTAGCGAGTCGGTGATAAGAGCAGAAGTTAAGTGTACACATGCGACTACATCAAACATGTGAGGAGAAGGATCAGCGTACGACCACGGACCACCGTCATGTGACGTACAAAGCGAGAGAGATGATCTTGATAACCAGTGTGAACCACACAGATGTGCAAAGGAAATTAGATCAACTCCTAGCATTATATACGTCAGTCAAACTAGAGCTGGAGAGAGCAGGGAGACAGAGAGCGATTATAGAGCGGACCTCTATAACGTGTGTTAGTAGCCAGACATGGAGCGCTAATGGGTCGTCCAGTTCTTTAAATGTGCACTTACAGCCTTTCTCGGAGCTAGTGGGGTGGACCTGGCAAGCTTGCTGCACGTGCTTCAGTACATCTCCATGATTAGTAAGATGAAAAGATATAGAGCGGAGTATACGAGAGCGACAGGGACTGACTCCTTTGTTCTGAGCAGTGTACAATAAACAGAGGTCATGTAATTGTAAGAGGCTTTTGTTCAGAGCTACTTTTGTTGTGACACCATACTACGCAGGGTACTGTTTAGAGCAGTGAGCAGCACGAGTTATACTTTAATGTCCGACAATCATCATCGCACGATGTATTATGTCAATATTCAACACTGAAGAATCCAGGAAATGAAATTTCGAAACAATCGAACAAGCGTTGCCTAGGTGACATTATCACTCGGAGTACGATGATATCATCAGGAATTCATTTGAGCTGGTTCAAACTAATTTGAAGTGGTGGTTGTTCAAATTTGCGGGAGCTAATCAATCAGGCTAGATGAACGAGCTAATTTGTCTCGGGGACCTTAATTCAGCAAGTTTCCTAGAATTATAAAGACAGTTCGACAGAATTCAACTGAGTGAGCGAAAGAATAGTGCAAATCATATTTTCTACTTGTGCAATGTGCATGCATATCTGACTTTAATCAAGAAATGAGGGGACCTTTTACCTTAAGCATTTTGGGAACATAGCTCAAACTAATAGTGAGATTACTTATCCATATCGACTGAAGAAGGACTAAAATACGTTACTTAAATAAAATGAATTTTGAGTAGATTAATTACTATGGTACCGAGTTAGGACGATTGACAATTTCCGAGCATGTTTAATTTTCGTGTGCAAAATGACACAAACATGCATGATGAGGACAACTTCAAACTTGCCCGAAAATTCAACCGGCACCCAAAAGCTAACCACCTCTTGAAACGGACAGGAATTATGGCAACCTCGCGATCACTATGGCAACCTCGCGATCACTGCTGCACTAAAATTATACTTTGCACACTCAAATCTGTCAGATGGTAGTGACAGGAGTGCAGTTTAATTACCTGAGTGGTGGTGGTGGGATGATTGCGTTTTGCAGGTCTGTTCCTTTTGATCGGCCGTCACTCCAACCTTGCTGAGGGACACACTGTGTTTACACAGTTCCGACTCCGTCCGGGACTTCTTGGACTTCTTCAGCAGGGGTGATCTTATTTTGGACTTGAAGTTGAATGTCAGGTTGCGCTGGAGACTTGGCATCTTGATGGAACCAACTGTCATTAATCTAATGTGAGGTAGATTTTGTTAATGTGGTTGCCCGTCATGACAAATCAAGTAAGTATAAGGAATAAGGATGGTCGAAGAAGAGGTATGAGGTACCAATCTAGCCATCAACCATATTTATGAATTTCATCTGAAATTTAAAAAATTCATGAGTTCAAAAAAATAACGTAACGTTCCCCGATCTCATAATAAATCACTGCCATTCCGCCCTAGACACGTACTTAAATATGTGGCTAAAAGCATCCTAAATTAGAATTAGAAATATGACGCTGATCGTTCAAAACTACTGTAAGTACTTCCAATTCCAACTTAAAATCAGGTACTGATACATGATAGAATATGAATCAAAGCAGCAACATACGTTGGGTCTTCGGAAGAGCTATGATCATAATCTGCTGTGAGCTGGCAGTGCTGCTCAGTGAACTGGCACCATTTATATATAAATTGAGCGGGTTGAATTATGATTTCAGCTGTCAGAGGGGTGCTGACTGTTTAGAGATATTTAATATTAGATATTTAATATCGTCAGGGTTATAAATAAAATGATCGTGAGATCTGTTTCCACTGAACTTTCTACTGAATTTCTACCACGTATTCATGGATAGATATAAATGTGTTCAAATAACCTAAATTACAAAGCCTTTCCTTCACAGGACCTTTTAGCTAGAAATTAGTATCATAAAAGAAAATCAATAAGCAAGCAAGAGCTGGTCGTGTGAAGAAATGAAATATTATTCTTTTAAGTCGGTTATAAAGCATTTATTTTAAATACATAGGAGGATCAAATTATGGAACCACTTTATATATCAAGCAATTCAATACGAAAATTAAAACTATACGTTTTTTAATGTAAATGGCTGAGATATCAAACAAAAGCTGTAATAAACGCTTAAATTGATTTAAATTGTGGCACCTTAATATATATGGGGCAAGTACTGGCATACGACACCAACCTAATGAAGTAATAAAAGAGGAATCCGGGGTGCTGAATGATATTGACATCATTTGATTGACATGTCAATACCTCTCTCTCTCTCTCTCTCTCTCTCTCTCTCTCTCTCTCTCTCTCTCTCTCTCTCTCTCTCTCTCTCTCTCTCTCTCTCTCTCTCTCTCTCTCTCTCTCTCTCTCTCTCTCTCTCTCTCTCTCTCTCTCTCTCTCGCGCTGCCTGACACATTCCATTATATGCAATACGAGATAGTGATTTGAGCTACAAGTCACGATATACAGTCATTCTATAGAAATCACTTAAACCTGTGTAGGAATTTCATCCTCAAAATAAGATGATGGAAGTAAGCTCTGGTGGGGTTAACTTTTAACCTAGGTTAACAGTTAACACAGGTTAACCTGTCCGGTGGTCATCGAAATCTGGTCAAAATAAAACCAATATTTGGACTACATTCTATACCGACGAACGGTTTATATGGCCGGAGTATTTGCTTAGCGGCAAAAAGATGTGGTACAAAAACAAAATCCATACTGTCGGAATATAGTGGTGGATATAAATAAAAGAACACTTAGCCTCTCTGCGAATGGGCGAGTACTGTGCCTTTCTGCGAAAGGCATAGTACTCGCACACAGCTCTCGCCAGTCAGATGGTTGTAATACCTATGATCTAATTCTATTTATAGGTATTAAATATATACTACGATCCAGCGACACGCCTTGATTTCTAGAAATAGAAATTTACAGAGCAAGTTATCAGAGGGTTTTTGCGGAGGCTATCAACGTCTTTTGTATTGGTGCTGTAACAATACTGCAAATAAGTGATAATTCGTAATTATACCTTCACTCTTCGGTTACCCATGTCTGAATATTGCAATAGTGAATTGGCTGTAGAAATAGAGCAGAAGACTTAAAGAAAGTGATATTTATCTTTAGAAATGAAACGTAAAACCTCTAAAAAAAATACGAGTGGTATTGGTAAAATTAAATGTAGATGACAGTCTCATCTACATGCTTATATTAAGTATTATAGTATTATCGCATCTTAATCAAATAGCTCCATACGTTAGAATTGCAGGTAACTCATTATGAAACCCACAGCTTGTGTGCAAATTTGTGATCGATGATCGGAATTGTGCCTTGTGGCTGCAAACGATCTACTGAGTATTGGTGTTAAACCTCTATATATATACTAGCTGCCTGAAATATTTATTTCCTTCGTGGACATATTTGGGTCTTATTTGAAGGTCTTAACTAAAATATTGAATATATAAACGAATTAAGATTAAAAATATCAATATTTGACAATTTGTTTGGCTGAAAGCTGTCAAACTTGATGCGCATGCCCATATATGCCCATAAAGTAACAAATTTGTTACCAGTTTACAAAAAAATTAAAAACTTAATATATACTATATAGCTTTCATAAATAATTAATTTACAGATGTTTAAAACCGTACCGATATTTTGTTAACACCCTGTATGATAATATAAAC